GATATAGTTGCAATGGTAAATAGTGTCTTTTGGAAAAATTGTGTTGTCTGGTGATCCTTTCATCTCTTGCCTCTTCCCTTAATTTTCCTCATTGTTCATTCTTTTGGATGAAGTTTAACATTATCTGCCATTTAAGACAGTCAGGGAGGTTTTGGTTGAAAATGAGCTCAATCTGTTTATTTGTGTGGAACTGGCTTGTTAGAAACCCCTGTGTGAAAACTGAAGTTTCAGTGGAGACCACTAGATATGACAGATGAGCCACTCCAAAAACAAATCAACGCATCTAGATGTTACAAAGGTATTCTCAAAAACCAGCTCCATGATTATTAAATGCTTCAACTATCTCAAGGCTATAAAACGTAGATGGACGATTGGTGTGTGTGTGTGTGTGTGTGTGTGTGTGTGTGTGTGAGCACTTGTGTGCATGTGGGAAAGGAGAGTGCTATTTTGTGGTCTGTGGTTTGCTTTGAGGGAGACATGAAGCGTTATTCATAATATCCCCAAACTTGAAACAATCTATTTGTCCATTGATGGTGGAGTGGATAACTAAATTGTGGTTAATTCGCACAACGGAATGGTATGCAGAAATGAAAAAGTACAAGCTATTGCCGCACATAACACCATGGATGACTCTCACAGACTATATTTAGTGAATAGAGTCAGATACCAAAAGAGTACATACTATATGGAGTCTATTTATATAAAGTTCAAAACCAGGTAAAATTAATTTATGGTGCTAGAAGTCAAAGTGGCAGAGGAGGTAGTGATGGAGAGACAGCACAAGGGAGCCTGCTGGGATTCTGAATTGTACTGTATCTTGATCTCTGTGGTGGTTACATGTACCTGCAACACACATGTACAGGTGTGTATAAGCAAGGGGAGAAGAGAATTTCAGGAAGAGAGACTTGCTTATTATTTATTTATTTATTTATTTATTTATTTATTTATTTCCTCTAGGAATTTAACGGACTGATAAAGCCTATAGATCATTTCTATATTTTTCTTACGTTTTCAGCAGAAATACAGCCACAGCGCCCAAGCGGAAAGCATGGCCATTATTCTGCCTTCCTCAACAATATTTTACCTTTGTTTCCAAATCTATCCTCACTTAGGCTTTAATCCTAAGGCCTGCATCTTCAAAATTATGCAATATTTAAAAAGATGACAGAAAACTAATGGATGGCTCTTGGATTTAAAATGATAGCAGACATGGGGGTTTTGAAATTAGTTTACTTGTTGATTCACTTACTATTTTTTCATCTTAATTGGTGATACATAGAACGTTCCGATGTTTTGACTCTTAATTCTATCCATTGAATGTTTTATTACCTATTTTACCTGAATCTAAGATTTTCCTGTTGATGTATGAAATATCTGTGTTCCTCCTTGGATTAGTTTCCTGTGGCCATTGTGACAAATTACCATAAACCTGGTGGCTTAACACAACACTTATTCTCTCATAGCTTTGGAGTCCATAAATGCTAAATCCGCATTCACTAGACTGGCGTCAAAGTGTGGACAGGGCTGCACTCTCTCCAGAGGCTCTACAGGGAGAATTCCTTCCTTGCCCCTGCCAGTTTCTGGCGGTGGCTGGCATTCCTTGGCTTGGGGCTCTATCATCCTAGTTACTGTCTCTGCGGTCACGTTGCCTTCTCTTTTTTGTTTGGGTCAAATTTCTTTCTGTCTCTCTTTTATAAGGTATGTATGATTGCAATTAAGACCCAACCCAATAATCCAGGATTATCTCTTCATCTCAAGATCCTTAATTTAATCACATCTGAAAGATACTTTTTCTGAACAAGGTAATATTTACAGGTTCCAGGGATTGGGACCTGATAGCTGTAGGACTGTCACCATTCAGTCTACTATACCTCTCCACCAAGTTGCAGGGACCATGGGAGCAGAGCCCTTATATATTTTGGGTGCTCTCATTGCTTAAAATAGTGCGATGAGAATGTCTGGCACATAGTAGTCATTCACTTAGTATATGTCAGGTAAGTAATCATAATGAGTAAATTTGAAGATCTTCTTTTAGAATAGGGGAGATCTGTTTTACTCCAAAAGATAGCCAATACCACTAGTTGGGATTTATAGTGAAGGGCTTCAGTTCATCTCAGAAAGAATATTCTAATAACTAGACCTATCAGTCCACAGTTTGAGTTGCTTCATGAGGGAATAAACTCCTTGTATCTGGATGTATTCCAACAAGGTTTATCATCTGTTAGGGAGGGATGCTACAGAGGGTATTTTAAAATTAGTTGGGAAGGTGGTAGCAGAGAGCAGTCAAGTTTGTCTTGTGTAAGTACTTTTACTTCTTCATATCTAAAGAACCCTAATCTCCCGAAATTTCTAGAATTCTTCTTTAAGCATTTTGTTAAATTGTTGGTTTCATGACCACTGAAAAAGATTCCCCTAGTTTATGGCCCTGTTGTGGCTGTTTTACAGAGGCGCCACAGAAACATTTTTTTTTTTTTTTTCTCATGGATCAGCTCTATGTCTCTGTAGACTGGTAACACCATACTGGAAGTTTTCAGTGCTAGCTAGCCTGAAAGAGGAATTTTTTTTTTCTCTTTAATTTACAAATATGGCTCCAAGTCTTCAAATCTAATTTTCAACCTGGAATCTTGCCACTGATGTATAAAATATGGTCACTAAAATAATGCAATTGGCTTGTTTCATGTAGCAACACTGCCCAGGGATGAATCCATATGCAAATAAGTGAGGTCTCTCCATCAGGGCAGTTGTCTCGAAAATTGATGATAGGAAAATGCAAAGTTTTCTTCTAAATTTCCTCTCACATGAAGCCACACACGATAATTGATCTTATGATCTTAACTAAATCGAGCTTTTGGCCAACGTAGTTGTGCCAGTTGGGATGTTTCTATATGCAAATAATGGAATTCATTGCCAAAGTGCCCCATGAAAGAAGCTTGGAAGATGGGCTGAAGCAAGTTGAGGCAGTTCCAAACATTATGTCCTCACCCAAATAATAACAGCAAGGGTAAGGAGGGGGAGATGTTTTTTCCCCACATGTCGTCGTTGTCTTCTACTTCTTCTTCCTTTTCTTCTTCTTCATCAGGGAGGAAAATCTTCTCCAGATGTTTCCCAAAGCATATCCTTTTCTGTCTCATTGGTCAGAACTGGGTCACATAATCATTTCCATTAAGGATGAGTAGAAAAGCAAATTTCTCTAACATTAACTCCCTTCATTGACAAGAAGGGGTTAAATCTGTCCTCATTAGAAACAGATTCCTCAAACGAACATTTACAAATAACTTTGCAGATCCCTTTGAGGTACTTTTTCTGATTCTCATTAACACACCTAGTAATGTAGGAAGTTGTTGTTAGTGGTGGTGGTTGGGAGTAGGGAAGGTACTGGGAACTACTACTAACTGGGTATCATGGACTAACCATATCTACAGATGAAGAGACTAGACTCTACATAAGAAACCTGTCTAAGGTCACATGGCTAGGAAGCAATGATGCTCCAATATGGACCATTGCTAATGATGATGATGAAGATGGTAATTACATCAGTTAATATTGCGTGCTTACTAGTATATGCCAGGCATTGCGCTGTTACTTTACATTGATTACTTCATTTAATTTTCAACCTTATGATGGAGGTAGTGCCTCTGTTTTGTAGATAAGGAAACTGTGGTTCAAGGTCACACATTTAGTAAGTGTGGGTCTACGATTAGAACTCCAATGCTCCCCCTAGGGCTGGGCACTTCTTAAAACTGTACTGGTTTCCTATTCTACTTCCTACATTCTTTCCAGGACCACTGCCTCTGAGCTAGGCTTTCTGTCCCTTAAGCTCACTCATCTGTAAAATGAGATAATTCTACCTACTTTATGGGGTTCCCGCGAGGAATCAACCGTGATAATCCCTGTAAAGTGGTTAACAACGAGACAAGCATAGGAGTAAGTTGGCATTATTATTGTAGAATTTATCCTACTATCTTGAAATTTTCAGTTCTGTCTTTTTACCTACCCTAATGGACTGAGATCATCCAGGACAGCAGTTCTTGTACTTTTGGGACTCGTTGCCTGTCTACACTCTTAACAAATTATTGTAGACCCCAAAGAGCTTTTGTTTATGTAAGTTATAGTTATCATGACTGCTTTGCAATTAATACCAAGAAATGTTTGAAACTTCGTAACAAGCACACGCTTCCTTAACTGTCCGAGCAATGATATCATACACATCATGCATCCCCTGGAAAACGTACACTCGTGAGAGAAGGAACGCAAAAAAGGCAAAAAGGTGTTTGTATTGTCATGAAGATAGTTTTGACTTTATTGGGAACCCCCCAAGGGTTTCTCGTACCACACTTTGAGAACTGCTGTTCCAGGGTACTTGCTAATGAAACATCGGATTCTGTTCGGTCGAGAAAATCCATGGTTCGAGAGGTCAGAATAAGCGCTAGAGCTCCGTTAAACGGCAAGCCACTATCGCTGTGTCCCCGAAGGCAGCGCGACCCCGAGCAACGTCCGCGGCGTCCACGCTCCTCTGGGGTCTCCACCCCCGGCGCCCACACCACTTTCAGAGGCCCCGCCCCAGTGCGCTGCCCCTCGCAACCGGCTTCCCGGGCGCCTGGAGACAGGCCCCGCCCCACCGCCTTCCATGGCAACCGTGGCGCGCAGCCCAGGCGTCTACGCGCCCCCACTCCCCCTCGGGCTAAACCATTTGCTTCAGGGATCTTCTGAGGAGGTGATGGAAACACGGGAATATGATACGACGTCTGAGAGCTCCTCAGCTTCCACTTTTCTACCTGGTTGGAACGCTATATTTTAGTTTTATGCTTCACAGCTGCCCCTGCGAGAGGAGCGCCCATCTCTCCCTGCTCGGTTCGAATGCCTCCCCCATCCCAGGCCGGCGGATGGGTCGGCTCGCCAGGGAGGCTCGCGGTCGGCGCGGGTTGGCCCAGAGGAGGGGGAGCGCGACCGACGTAGCGCGTGGGGGGGCGGGGCCGCGCTCAGGGGGGAGGGGAGGTAGGCAAGATGGCGCCCGGCGAGTGATTCACCCCAGATACGTCCAGCGGCCGCTGAGACACCGGGGCGGGGGGGTCCTGCCCCCACGGTCGCCCTTCCTCCTCTCCCCCACCCCCGGAGACCCCCCACACCCTTCCTCCCTCTACCTCGGGGTGGGGGTGGGGGGGCGAGCCTGGTTCCCGGGACACCATGTCGGACTCTGAGGAGGAGAGCCAGGACCGGCAACTGAAAATCGTCGTGCTGGGGGACGGCACCTCCGGGAAGGTCAGTCCTCCAGCGGGCCCGCCGTCCCCGGCCTGCAGGAACCCCGGCGCGGCCCCGGCACCCCCCCCCCCCCCCCCCCCCCCCAGCCTTCTCCCCGCCGCTCTGCGTCGCCTCATTACCCCAAGGGCGGGGGCCCACCTGGTCGTGTGGCCTGGGGCCAGACACGAAGTAGGCGCGGGGGCTGACGGAGCTGTCCAGCGCCCATTAAATTAAAAAAAAAGAAAAGAAAAAAAAGAAAGAAAGAAAAAAAGAAAAAAAAAAAGTCACTCCCCGGCTCTCTCTGCCTGGATCTCGAACTCCTACTTCTTCAAGAGTCGGGCCAGCATCTCCCTCCTGGGAAGCTTTCCAGCTTCTCGCCTCCGACGACTGGCAGACATCTGCCAGGGCCTCTTACTTGTTCTTCCTTTAGTCCAGGTCGCACTTTGCCTCCGCGCCCCCCACCCCCGCCCCCCCAGTCTCCGCGCCCCCGGCCGCTTTACGGTTTCGGATACCAGCACTGCGTTGGCGGCTGCCAGGAACTTGGCTCTGGAGTCAGATTCCCTGGGTGCGCCTCGGGGCTCCATAGCTAACTGGTCGGGGCAGCGGAGGGCAAATTCTTAACCTGTTTGGGCTTCATCGGTCAGGTGGGTATGGAGAGGGGTCGCCTCAAAGGGTGCAGTGTGCAAATGCACATGAGATGTGAAAAGCCACGTAAAGCTTTCAGAACGCGGCGTGCACCCAATAAACGCCAGTTGCTGTTTGATGGCGTCATACCTCGTCGTCGCTGCTGCTCATGCAGCACCTGTCCGCACAAGCATTCATTCAACAAGTACCTGGGCGCTCCTAGTGAGGGCCGGGTGCCGAGGGGTACGGCCGCTCTCCTGCCAGAGGGGATCCTTGCTTAGGGTCTAGCCTTTGGGGACGGTTGGTTGAGCCCGAGTGGGTGAGAACATCCGACAGCCAGTCTCCTGGCTTGTTAGGCTGAGGCTTTTAACTCTGGGTCGTGGAGCTCCGCAAATGGTATAAAATCCTCTCTCGGTGCTTGCTCTTTGGGGAGCGTCCACGGGATCCCGAAGGGTCAGTGACTCTCCCCCAAATAAAGCGAAGAGCTGCTGCCCGCGGTGCCTTCACACCTGTCGCTTCTGTCAAAGGCGCCCACAGTTTCTGGAAGCTTGCTGCAGCCTGTCTCCGCTCCTCCCCTCTCCCTGTTCCCAGCCAGAGTCTGCAGAAACGCAGGTGGTTATTGTCCACCAGCGTCCGGCTTCACCGATCCGTGTGACTGGTGTAGCTCGGACCCTGGCTTCTGTGGCGACGCCTGCTCGTTGCATCTTCCCTGGCAGTTGGCCCTGCAGAGCTGCCCCTGGCTTTGTGGGATTCGAGTTCCCTGGGGCACCTGGGAGAGGTGGCATCCACATGCAAAATGTGCAGCATTCCGTTGATTTCCTTCTGCCTTCCCGGGTGGAGATTTTGTTACTGATTTTTATTGCTGAGGAAAAGCGTCCTCGTACCCTCTAATGACCTTTGAAGGTTTTGGGGAAGCAACTTTTTGAATAGTTCGACTGTTTTAAATAAATCGTAATTGTTTCTAACACTCTTATTTAATAAAAAAAAAATTTAAGTTGTGTATTTGTATGGTTTTATTCAATTTCCTTCTGAATACCTTCTAAGCTTTCATCTCCTAAATCTTTTACAGTCAGCTCATAACTGAATTTATTTCCTGTTTCAAGTTGTAATGACAGTCTATAGCCCCAATACACTTGTTTAAAGAGACAAAAATTGCCCTTTATCCTGCATTCTATCATAAGTCTTTAAACTTTTGCTCATTTTTTTTTTTCCCTCCTAGTATATATCAGTCTTCATACATGTGTGACTCAGTTGAAGTTTGTTCATCATGTTGTATCTGGGCTTTTTATTTAGCCTGCCATATGTTTTGTTTTTTTTTTTTCTAATTGCTAATTTAATGTGAATAATTGCAGTTTTTCATCTCTTTATAAAATTCCGTCTAGTGTAGGACAGGGCATAATTTCTCTCCCTTCCATACTGTTGAATTAGGACTATCATTCTGCTTCAGAGGGTAACAGTGGTAACTCTTTATGGTGTTCTGATTGAGTCTGTCATCTCGACTAATCTATTTGGAAGCTGTAAAGGCATTTTCTGCCAGAGATCCTCAGACACAAACATCAGGAACTGAACGTTTTTTCTGTTGGTATACCAAGCTTTTTTCTCCTCCATACCCTGTCCAGCCCTCAAGTTACTGGCTGCTATCAACATCCCCATTCTGTTTCCTTTACTATCCTTTTATGAATTCGGCCTCCCTTTCATTCTTACTTGTGTCCTGATTCAACGCCTGACTGTTTTTTCTAGCATTATTTTTTCTTGTTAGTTTTAACTCCTGGCATTTAGATACACATGGACGGAGGCAGTGGAATATTGAGATAATCACTAACAGTTTCTCCAGGAGAAATATAAGCTCCTCCTCCTAATAACATGTGTTTCTATTTCTTTCTGTTTTGATTCATACTTTTGATTTTATTACACATTTCTTAAGATTTTTTTGAGGCAAAATGTTCTTTTTTGGTCCCTTTTTTTTGGTATTAGTAAATGTAATATTGGTAAAAATTATAAGCAGAAGTTCACCCCAAAAAAACCAATATAAAGAATCAGATAAAAATGTTTCAGATGTGGTAGATGATTGTTTAAGAATGATATTTATATAATGACTTGTGAGAACTTATTTGAGTATGAAAGAGGCAGAAAGTCCAGAGGATTGAGGAAGTGCCTACTACTGATTCAGCGGATTCTGTTTGTCTAGAGATGGTATAAGAACATATGTTAATATTCTGTGTTCCCAGTGACCTATGCTTTTGACAGATTATACTTTATTCCAATAAAAATCCTAGCTTTACGTTTGCCTCAAAAGTGTGAGGGTAGGGCTTTCAGAATCTTGCAGTCCTGTTTCCAAGAAAAGAACCTTCGAATTTTTCTAAATACTCATCAATGTAAAAATACTGAACTTTGAACACCCTAAATGAATGGGAAAAATTACCTTAAATGGCACGATGCTAATGCTATATGTGCCTTGAATTTCTCTTTGTCTTATAAAAGTATATCAACCATCCCTGTGTTAAATACTTTGAAACATCTGTACTAAATAGTGGTATTTTTCTCTAGAACTATGAGCCTCTTAACAGATTTTGCACTCTAAGTTAAACAAGCTCGGTGGCATAAAAAAGCTAAATGAAAAACAAAAAGCTTTAAAAAGGAATGCTTACGTTTTTCATTCTAATCTCTTAGTTTTTATACTATTGTTCAGGGAAGCCAAATAAATTTTCATTTGGGTGTAGTGAGTTTATTTCTCAGTGCCTGGCAGAACCTCTTTCCTATGGTGCTCAATAAATATTTGACCAAATATCTTAGAAATTTATTACAAGTTCTGAGTGTTTAAATAATAAAAGAATTGGAGTGAGGGTGTGCAAATTGTTATTTGTGTGAAAAGTCTGGTTCTTGTGTCAAAAGGAATTTTAGGTCTTTTTGTTTGAAGGAATTGAAATATGGCCAAGTTTTCTTTTGCATTACTGCACTTATGTCATAATTAATTATACTAAGTTATCTTTGAAATTTTATTTTAGTTTTCGTTATTTTGGGAGTTGACATCTAATTTTAACTTTCAGAGTAAAAAAGGGTAATTTTCACTTAACTTTGGGAGTCTTGCTTAAAGAACATAAAAGCTTCGTGAAGCTGCCTTTCTCCTTTTTGGTGAAGTGTACAAATAAATAGTGCATTTAATGTTTAAGAAGCCTTTAAGTTATTGAGTTATTTCACTTGTTACCAGAGTGATGATTCTACTTTGGTATGAAATGGTACTCTAGAGTTTTGAGTACAACTTTGAGTTTTTATTTAAAAAAAAATGTGTATATATATATATATATATATATATATATATATCTGTTCTGGTTATAATAATCTTGTGACTTTTAATCTTTATGGTTGTTGGATTGAAAATACTTATTTTTGCCTATAATATTAGTCTCAAAAATGCTTTTTAATTTTAAAGATAAATATTATCACAGTCATTCTATAGGATCATTTTCATTTAACATCTTTAATGTAGAGAAAATTAGACATTTAAAGACCCTTTTTTGTGGGGAAAAAAGAAATTATATTAACAGTCTTTCCCCCTTTTTAATTAGTACTGCTTGTTATTGGCTGAGGGCACAAATACTCAGAATATTTAACCTCAGAAATGAAACTTAGAATTCTCTGAAATTTGTATTCAACTGATATCTATAGATATACATATCTTTAGTCGTGTTGTTTTAGTTTTCTTGTTGATATATCTCAAATTCTGATTTCCAGCAAGAAGGAGCTTGACTATCTGGGGATTTAAAGAGATCCAACCCATTAGCCTGTTGTCCCCACTGATAGTAGTTGCAAGTGAATTTACCTGGTGGAGTGTTAAGTCCCTCCTCCCCTTGCAACTGATTAGAACTGCTTAAAGTTGCTTGTTGGATTAATGGGAGTGTAAATACTAAGATTACTTAATAAGGTTTAGTAGTGATTTTATGTTTACATTTCTAAAACAAAGACATTAATTTTGGTTTTCTATGCATCAATTTTTTAGACCTCCTTAGCTACGTGTTTTGCTCAAGAAACTTTTGGGAAACAGTACAAACAAACTATAGGACTGGATTTCTTTTTGAGAAGGATAACACTGCCAGGTAAGAGACTAAAAAATCTTAACATAGTAAATTGTATATATCTTACAATAAGAGACATAGGGAGACATGCAGAATAAATTTGGGGGTCGCTTCTGTGTGAAAATATATATAATTAGCAAATCTATCTTCAGAGGTTAACTTTCATCAGCATCTACCATGAAGACGAATTGTCTATGGCCGTGAGAGAAAAGTTTATATACTCCCCTACTCTCCTGCTATTTTTGACCACTCTACACATTTTTTTGAGGATACATAATAGTTGTTTATAAAATTCTAAAAAGTTAAAAAAATCAAATGCTGTACAATTATAAACAGATATTGTATAAACTAAATGTGAAAAGACTGGAAAGGATTATTTTTTTTAAATATTATTTTGATTAGCCTCTGCTTCAGTTTTTTGTTCGAGAGAAAGTTGGAACAGAAGTATAATGTAGCTATGGAACTTCTGTGCTCTAATATGTGAATGCTGTTTTATGCAAGGCAGCATGAAATTGCTGGCATTTAATAGACCACTAAAATTTAGGGTCCCTAGGCACTCATAAAAATACAGTTTGAGCATTCAAGATGTTTCAGTTCACCATGCAAAGAAACTATTTAGATGCCAGTTGCAGCACATTTTGTGGGAAATACAGGGAAATAATAACAAAAAGAGAGTGGTTTCTGTTTTAAGTTAGTTTCTGAACAATTGGGGCTTTAAAATGCTCTGTCCATTCATTTGTAATGGTTAAATTATATGTTTAAAGTATTTTATTAAAACCAGTTTATCTTGATTGACTTTCTGAACCAGTCCATCCCTCTCCTCTCTGAGGAAACACATTTGAGTAAAAACGGTTGCAAGTATAGCGTCAGATTCATATACTGGAACGTGAGTGATACAGTGGGCAGGGGTTTAATAAATTCCAATATTATTGAAATATGTTAACCTCTCAAGCGTCCCATCTATCAGACATCTCTCCGTGAAAGTTTTAGAGCAGCTAATGAAAACTCTTGGTAATTGAAGGTATTCTGCGTATCTCACTGGTAATATGCTCTATTATATTTTGTGACTGAATGCAGCTACCAATGAAGAATGCATTAAAAGATACAGTGCGACAAAAGATTTCCAACTTTCCATTCTAAGTTATTGTTCAGCAAGAGGCTTAATGAGAAACATATGCATCTTTTGTTTCGATTGTATTCACTTTTAATCTATTCAAAACTGAAAATCTCATTTTATTATTCCCACTAGTGTGGATAGGTCAACGCTACATTCAGAATTTTTACAGCAGTCACTAGCAGAATACATGCTCAAATCATGTAATATACATGCTGGAAGCTTATTTTTTGCAACAGTGTTTTCAGGGATGCCAATTGTACAGAGAACTTTAATATGCATATAATTATTGACTGTTTTTGATGCTAATCGGCAAAAGCATCAGCTTTCTGTACCATTAATATTAGTTTTTCTGACTTTTTTAGTTCAAAGGCTTAAATAAAGGAATAAGCACCACACAGATATTAAGATGTTTTAAGACTGGTTTTGGACATCTTATATATATATATGTGTATATATATATATATATATATACACATATATATATATATATAATATGTATGTGATGATTTCGGATTTGTTGCACAGTGTGACCCATTTTAAAGTTTTGATGATTTTGTAAAAATACTTGGTATTTTTTGAAATCAACATTTATAGTATAATATTTTAGAGTTAGAGAGTACTTCTATTAAAAATGATGTTAGGAAATTGATAGTCCCATGAATGTGTATTTTAATATTCCTGATTAAGTTTTTATTTTGATGGGTAGAGTTCCAGAAAAAAAAAAAATTTTTTTTAAGGCAGTTGGTTTTATGCTGCTTAATAGACTCAAAATATGTTAGAAATTTCAGCAGGAAAAATTATTTTAATATAACTTGATTTTATACAATTAATAGTATATTAACAAATGAGATAAGTAAATTACAAGGTTCATAGTATATCCTTTATAACTTCAACCTTAATTTTAACTGTGTCAAATGTAGAATGATTAATATTTGTATCGTTAGCTAAAACATTATAGACAGCATTATTGAATTTATAGAGTGTACTAGGCAAATCTAATGTTTGTTAAGTATTCTGGTAAGTCTTCTGTCCATTCAGATTGTTAGAGGTGTAATACCTCCTGTCCATCTATTGACATTCTCTTCATGCAAGTTTTCAAGGTCATTACTTTGTAAATATTCATCCATTTTAGTATATTCCATGTTCCGGTATGCTGTATAGTCTGGATGCAACCACTGTGCAGATTTTACTGCTTAAAATAGTGTATCTGTTAGTCAGAGATTCTGCTGATAGAGCTTCTTAAGAGCCTTAGTCAAAATACTTTCAGGAAGCTTGTGGGTACAGTCCAGTAAACAGCGTTCTACTGTGAAAAGGATTTCTAAGTCTTTAGTACAAGAAGTGGGCAGACTTGTGTTTTTAGTTCCATCTTGACTATGCAGCACTTTAAGTAAGGTTAACCAAGGCTCCAAGTGTACTTTCACAAGGTCACTGTTGAATCCTCTTGGTGGCTTTGATTCATACCAAAAGCAACTTACCTGTATTTTGTCACCTCATTTATTTTATTTTTTTCCCTGGTTACATGTCATTTCTTACTGAGGAGCAGGAATTTTGTAGCATTTTACATTCAAGATTAGATTGCTGACAATTTCCTTAATGTTGTTAGTTGGAAATTTATGTCAGATGGATTTTTGGTTTTTAAAAATTTTGTAGTATTGATTACTTGAATACTCATACATAGGTTATTAGGTATGTCACTTTGAAAATATACTTGGAAGCTTTATATGTTTATGTTTGGGAAAACTAAAATGAATATTAACTTGAATTTCATCCATATGTGATTTTGTTTCCCAAATAGAGGACTCTCATTTATTTTTATTTTTATTTGTTAATAAGCCTAAAATTCAAATGTGGAAGTTAAAAATATGTTTCTAGATACATGAAATGAGTATGAAATTAGTATCATTTGTTGAAGCTACACTGACAGCAAAAGTGTTCCCCCCCCCCCTCCAGCTTTGGCTAGCATTGTGGGTTATCAGTAATGCCTAACTATTTTTATTTCTGAGGCACTAGAATATGTATATTAAGGAAATAAGAAATAGTAAAGAAATAAGCCAACAACAACCAACACTGTTTATTTGGAAAGGTATGGATTTAAAAAATACCTGCAACACATGAATATAAATCAAAGCTTTTTGGATGGGAGACAATTGAATAAACAATGTAGAGTCTTGAAATGATGTCGTCAGAATTTGGAAACGTGTAATGAAACTCATGTTCCTAAAGTTGTAGTTAAGGTGTTCACAATAACTAATTCAGATAGGATCTCGCTATTAGAATTTAAAGAAAGAAAAGCTTTCTATTTCTTGATACAAAGTTAAGTGATAGGAGTTATTGACCTTGAAGAAAATGGGATTAAATGCCTTTTATTAAGTGTTGCCTAAAATCCTGTAAGAAAGTTAATTTTGTTAAGCACTGTTGGTTTGAAGTAAATAAATGACTGCAAGAGTGTGCAAGTAAACTGGATAGAGTACTGCCTGTTTATCTAGGGGCTTCTGAAGCTGTCTGACATAGATCTAGTGACTTCTGGCCCTTTCTCACCTGCTTAATTTGAGGCCACACCAGAGGAGAATGAGTTCAGCTTTGAATCTTGAAAAATTTAGATTTTTAAGTAAGTGGGTTTATCCCAGTTATTGGATACAGTCTTAGTTTCTGACATTTTGGTTTTCACATTCATAGAGCTTTAAGAACATTTTTGTCATTACTCTGTGAGCCTTGACGGTGTATGTGGGAATGATGACGAGTGATAAACTCCAGGAGCTCTCATTAATGCTCATGGAAGTTCCCCATGTAAATCCTTTGCCCATTGGCAGATGCAACAGACCCACCTCAAAATAATGGAAAGACTGTATTACAAACCCAACAAAACTTAGAGTCAAGGGTAAAACTTGGCTGGTTAATCCAGTGTTATACTTGCTTTTCAGTGGAATGGTGAAACTGACATTCTCCAAGTTGAGTGTTTTGCATTGGTATAAAAATTCATGTCTTTGTAATCTTTTTTGTTGCTTTTGAAGCAAGACCATTTTTTGCTGTCTTTAAGTTTTTATTTTGAGTTTTCCTTATTTGCAAATCATTCAGAAAGATACATTTGTAGTATGGGAGTTCATTTTGAAGGTACTAATTGAGACTTTGTCTAACTTTGGAGAAAACTGTATGGTTTTCTTAGGAGAAACAGTTTGAAATGTTAAAAGCATGTTGGACATGGTCTTTAACTTCTGGGGTTCTGCATTGATAAGAGAATAGCTTATCTCATAAATTTTTGGATCAGCCGAATATTTTGCAAAATAGAAAAAAGAAATTTAAAGATTGCTTTTTAGTATTTTAAAATGCTTTCATTATGCTTGTGTGGGGAAGATTTACACCATTTTATGAAGGCTTCGAAGCACATGTAATAGTTTGTTTCACCGGAAATTCTTTGAACAGTTATAAATGTATCATAATATTTAGTGAAATACTGGGTATCTATCCTGTCTGTTATGAAGATAGCTATCATATGTGTTTATATTTTATAGCTTAAATTTGAAAACATGTAGTTTTAAAAAAAATGTGTTTACTATTGCATATAATAGGTGACATTCAAATTTTAAAGGTCCATTAATTTGAGTTGAAACTCTGGGTCCATTTTTGTACTCTATTATTAATCTATGAGTATTAGAAGCTATGGAGTTTAGATTACAGCAAAATTCATTATGTGCTATAGGGTAGGTTAGTATATACGGCTCTATTTTTATTTTTTAAGTATATTTTTTTTACCCCACATATAAGTGCTTTATTGTTCTATTCTCTGTTTAAGGAAATTACTGTTTTTTTAAGTTTTAAGAGATTTATGAAATCAAATCTTTCTTTTGTTTTGAAGGTGATTATAAATACGGTTCTATAGAAATGGGGTAAAAGTATAAACCTAAATTCCCCCACTATAATATCTTTTGGCAACGTTATTTCACAGTTCCAAATATCTGACCATAGGAACATGCAGAATAAAAGGCAAAATAGATTCATAGTTTATCATTGTGACTTAGTGTTCTCTGAAACTGTATTCACTTATTTTGTTACTTATCTTTTCTGCATTCTTATTTTTATATTCAAGGAAACTTGAATGTTACTCTTCAAGTTTGGGATATAGGAGGACAGACAATAGGAGGCAAGATGTTGGATAAATATATCTATGGAGCACAGGTATGACATTCTGTGATTATTCCAGTATTAAAATATCCTCTCCCAAGCACATATAGCTGGGTACACGCACGTGCACACACACACGCACACACAGACACACACACACACACACACACACACACACACACACTATAACTTGATTTTTATCTGATATGTGGAGATACTGATTTTATCTTTGTGCTAATCCTTTGGTTTCATCGTCCCCAAATTATATTTGGAATGATTTGGGTCAGGGAACTGGTGTGACTGTAATACCTTTTGTATGCTTACTTATATTGTTAGGTATTATGTCAGCAGTTAAATAAATGCATGATAAGTGATATATTTATTAGCTGATTTGGTTATAGTGACTGCTTTCAGAATATTCAAACTGAATGAAAAATATAGAAGGGAAAAATTTAATTTCATTTTAAGTTGTAAGGACAAAAAGCATATTTACATATTTTTGTGCTATAAAATGGTTTACTAAATATTTATAATTCTTCAGATTTAATACATATATGAATCTATTATATGAGCAAACTAAGTATGAAAAATTATATATATGAAGCACATACAATATCTTAATATATGATATCTTTTCAGAAGAAAATCTATATAGTAGGAGAAAAATCACTCAAATAATTATATAACACATTTTTTTTTGGCAACATGAGCTTATATGGACATAATTTATAAGTTGCTAAATTATTATACAAATAGAAAACGTGCATGGTAGTGATATACTTTAAGGAGTTAATTATTGACATGCTATTTAGTTTTGCTTTTTCTTCCACTCTAGTGTGTGTCTTTTACACCATCATGAAGCATTAGAGGGGGTAATAGCCATAACCCTTATTTGGTTCTCTATTGGAGTTTAATGTTTTAAGTGGGAGGATTTTACCTTGGTTATGTGGAACTATGTTTATAGGAAGTGACAAAGACAGGAGACAAAGTCAGACTGTTAAGCACTGTTCTGTACGCTGATGCTTGGCATATGCCATTGCCTTAATTTTGGATGGAAAATAGATTCTGAATTATTTTCTAAAATATTCAGTGAAAAGTACATGAAGCTCATATAGTTCTGAATCATTTGTGAAGGCCCTAGAGTATTGGTTTTTGCACTATTAATATATAGATTTGGATCTTAGAACTATTTTTTCTATGCCTTTTCTTCTGCATTGTTCTTTGTCTCCTGAAACTCTTGTTGCTTATTTAGCATTTTTCACTTGTAACGTATGACTTAATATTTTATGCGTATTCATTTTTCTTTTAAAAGATAAGTCTCAAGATTTTTGTGTCTGGCTTTTTGTTGTTTAATTTTTTCTGTTTTAAACTGATTATATTTAAAGTAGGTATTAAGCTAAAGAAAAATTTGTGGACAGAGATGTGTGGGAAGCCATAGTTGTTATTTTACTCCCCTTTTTGGTAAAATTGGTTTCGAAAATAGTAGTCTCTTTCCTCTTTGTCCATTAAAGTATACCTTCAAGGGTGCATATTGGACTTAAAAAAAAATAAATATTAGGTGTGTCAAGCTTCTCATAATATTTGACTCTGAATGTCAAATAAAGTAACTTTTTATTATTTAGATTTATCTAGAGAACAGGAAATTTTATGACTCTCAGGGCAAATAATAATATGAAATTCAATTAATGAATTTTTTTTGACTTAAAAATTGAGAGAATATAGTGCTCATGATTTGGATTCTCTTAAATTTACCTTCAGATCATTACAAATTTTTTATTTGATTTATGTAAATTAATTCAGTTTATTAATATAAAATTATATATAAAACTAATGATGTGAAATTGACAGGATATAAAGTTAACCATTTTAAAAGTATGTAATCAGTGGCATTTAGTGCCTTCACAATGTTTGTGGCCATTCTTTTAAATCATTTTTTTTTTACAGTGCATATTTTATGCTATTATGTAACTGCTTAAAAATCAGATATTATTGGTTAAATTTGTAGAAATTAAAAAATTTTCATCTTTTCTGAGAGGACCTGACTTCAGTAGGATGTCTTCATTCTCTTCTTATACCTCATATCTTGTGAGAAAGAGCTTGTTATATTTATATTCCTTCTTAGAACTTGTCAAATAAGATTTCTGTTTTGAAGGTACATGGGAGGTTTTTTCCCTTTGGATGGTGCCTTATATTATTTATATTTTACAATTTCTGTGAATGTTATAAGCGTATGTCTTGTTTCATTAAACAACAATGTAGTACAGTATTTCTGAGAAGTTCATGAACATTTCCATGAAATTGTGCCAGGAAATGGGGAATTCTGAGGTGATAAAATGAATTATCGTAAATTAATGATAACATAGTAAATTTTCCCTGCTTTCCAGAGATTCTAAACTAAATTATGCATACATAATTTATACATACATGTATACATATATGTAATACATAAACAACATTTACTAGTAGTTTCTTTTGTAAAATATATGTAAATTAAAAAATTTTTTTAAATGTTTATTTTTGACAGAGAGAGAGAGAGAGACAGAGCATGAGTGGGGGAGGGACAGAGAGGGAGGGAGACACAGAATCCGAAGCAGGCCCCAGGCTCTGAGCTGTCAGCACAGAGCCCGACACGGGGTTCGAACTCACAGACCGCAAGATCATGACCTGAGCCGAAGTTGGATGCTCAACTGACTGGGCCACCTAGGTGCCCCAATATATGTAAATATTTTATCTAGGCCAGAGAAGCTCAGACTACAATTCACTACCATAAATTGGAGGAATGTTACTTTTTAAAAATATTCCTTTCAGAAGCATTCTAAATAGTATTTTAATATACTCAATCACTTTATATCGTGTAGTCATATAATTATTGTTCAGAATGGATCTGTACTTTTTCCAGAGTTCTTGTAGATGCTTATGTTGGTTATGAATACTTTGTATTTTGGTATACATGCTACAGGATAGAAATCTTTCAGAAATGATGTTTTGACTGGCTGTTTTGAGGAAGGACATCAGTTTACTGTGTATTTAGGGTTTTCTTTTAGGTTCTCTAACTTCTGTATGGTGTATGGAAAGCCTCATCTTATACATACCTGGGCTATTAAGCTCATGAATCTATTTTTCTTTTTTTTTTTTAATTTCTTTTAATGTTTATTTATTTATTTATTTAACATTTATTTATTTTTGAGACAGAGAGAGACAGAGCATGAACAGGGGAGGGGCAGAGAGAGAGGGAGACACAGAATATGAAATGGGCTCCAGGCTCTGAGCTGTCAGCACAGAGCCTGACGCGGGGCTCGAACTCAGGGTCCGAGAGATCATGACTTGAGCTGACGTCAGACGCTTAACCGACTGAGCCACCCAGGCGCCTCAATGTTTATTTATTTTTTGAGAGAGAGAGAGAGAGAGAGAGAGACACCGAGTATGAGCGGGGGAGGGGCAGACAGAGAGGGAGACACCGAATCCTATAAGCTCCAGGCTCTGAGCTGTCAGCACAGAGCCGACTCAGGGCTCGAACTCACTAACCATGAGACCATGACCTGAGCTGAAGTTGGACGCTCAACCGACTAAGCCGCCCAGGCGCCCCTTGAATCGATTTTTCTGAAAACATTTCTTAACATCAGAAAGAGGTTTACTTGTAGGCTGGGAATGAACTTAGATTCAAATGGAACTGATTATTTCACCCTGTTCACATTTTTCCCCTAGTAGCATTAAACTTCAGCAATCGTCTGTTGAACAGTGTTGGTTGAAACAAAATTGGATTGACACCCAAGAAAGAATTAATGAGGTATTTTGACAAGAACTAGTTCTAAGAATTGAAGTATTTCCCAGTTAAATTCCCAGATTTTAAATTAACTTAAAATTTTCTAGGAGTCTTCAGAAAGATGTTATAGGCTATTTTTCATAGTGGTTACGAGCAAACACACAGTACATAGTGTTTAGTGCCCTGTAACCTGTGGCTAACAGAGGCTAATAACAAACCTCAGAGAAGGACTGGGTGTTTCATTTTTGTAGCTCTTTCCGTCCTGGAATCTAAGTGGTTTGCAAACACTGCCCTACTGAGCATAAACTCAATGAAGTGTAGTCACTTGTAAGGCAGAACATAACTACTATTGTGTGCCAGTGCCCCCCACAGATGAGCTTGCCTGTTAACCAGCTACAAAAGGATTTGGTTGCCTGGATGGCAGCTGGGGAGAAAGCGCATCTCAAAGCTGGACTCTCTGAGACCCTCTGCTGTCTTTTACTATGCATTTTTAGTTGGCTATTTGCCAGCTTAGAACTGATTATACACCTTTCTTGGATTAGTGTTCCTTCTTACACAGCAAAGTATGTGTTGTTAGGACTGTGGTATAATCTGTATGATCTAACCCATTTCTGCGTATAAAAGGCTACTGTAGATTATTTGTCATACAAATCAGGGAGAAAAAAATACCTGCTTTGTGGGATTTGGGACCCTTTCACTTTTGGGAAGGTTAAATGGTGTACGTACTGTGTGGGTTGAATTTTAGAACTAAATCTATGGAGTCACCTACAGGACTTAAATGTTGCCACCAGTGCTCACGTTTCCTTGAAGACTTCAGTGTTCCTTGGAGAATGGTTTCTGCCTGGTTAATGACTCGTCATGTTCATCAGATATGATGATCAGTAGAGAGATGAAAACAGAGTGCTGTGTGAAGAGACTTTATGTAATGTTTACCAAAAGTGTTGAGGTTTATGAAGAGAAGGGTGATAGTATCTTCTGGGGAATTGTAGGTGGAAAAAGTGAAGTGAAGGCATAGAAAATATAGGGAATTTTTGTTGAAGAATTTGAAACTATAGAAGAATGTATTAAACTTGAAATCTGATTTCCAAAAGTCCTATCAAAAATGAAGAGGAGCAGTTGGAGGGTAAGATGGGAAGAGCAAGCATGGGGCAGTGTGGGGAAAAGATGGAAAAAGATGAATGGTAGATAGGAGGGTGATAAAAGCCCATCAGGGACAAGAGACATGATGATGGATTTCGATGGCCGCCGGCTTGCCAAGAAAATGACTTCCAGCAGTTCCTGGTAGATTCTT